TCTAATAATTAAATATTGTAAATAAAAGGTGTTGTATGGTATCAAAAATGTAATTTGCTAATGACCCCTCCTCACGCCTCCACCACCATCCCCGCGCCTTTCGACCCTTCGCCCGCACCCCGCCCCTCTTCCCGCCCCCACCCGCTTCCGACCGACGCTCTGTTCTTAAACAAGACACACTCTGAAAAAACCGCAGAACTTTGTTTTCGGCCCGGAAGCTGTAAGGTACATACGATGCTTACGCATTTGGTCTATATTTTGTAAATCATCCCTATTTTTTTATAATTCATGTATTAATATAATTTTATTTTGATAATTCTAAATTTAGCTCTGAGGCTGATAGCTACCCGACCGAAACGATCATTAGCAAAAAAAAATGTTTGATATAAGACAACACCTTTAATTTACCATATTTATCTGAAGTTTTATTCTATAGTTTTTATTTAATAATGGCCTTTGAGATCGATAATTTAACTATCTGACAAACAAATAAAGGAGTCTGCTCTCAGACAACCTTACACAGCATTAAATCTTGCTTGACAATTGCAGTGTGTTGAAGACAGTAAATTTATTTTCTTGTAATTAGTTGTATATCACGTGATGATATTGATTTACTAATCTCAATGAATTATGTTAACATGGAAGTACCGAACCGGTAATTTTACATTCTTGGTTTTAGGTATACAGAACTGTATAAACGTACTCGAGTTACAATAACATCTTTTTTTGTAAGACAAATCCATAAAATATAATTTTAATAATTTATTTTTTGGTATCACATATCTCATATATCCGAATCTTAATATTTAAAATTCTGATTATAGTTATGCTGTTTCTGTTGCATAACGGAGTCGCGATTAACATAGAGTAATAAGGGCTGTAAGCAACCCCAATTCTTTTCCTTGCAAGTCCGAATAAAAAAATATTCGTGTCTTTTTTCTTCAAAGTGTACTATGCTGGTGTTCCGAGTTGGTACATAGAATATTAAAATGTATTAAATATTTCAAATGCATGCTTTCTGCATTTATGTGTATGTTTCCATTGCCATCCTGTGAATCATTTGATAGTTCTGTTCTCTAAGCAATATATGCTTTATAGGTTGAATATTTTCTTGACATTCTGGAAATCATTATAATGTTTTAAGATCCTTTATGACCTAGATATTATTTAGTCATAAAATATGTTTAACAATTTTACATTCTACATTTATGTGAATGTTTCCATTACCATTCTGAAAATCATATGATAGTAGTTCCATTCAATAGTCAATGTATCTTACCCAGTTCGTAATATATCTTATCCAGTTCCTTATCTTATAATATATTAAAGCTTTGAGTATTATGATAATTAACAATAACAGTTGAATTCAAAAGAAGGAGCACTCAGTCACGTACTACATTTTCATGTCTGATATATCATCAACCTATTTGTCAATATTTAATAATTTATTGTGGTGTTGTATAGTTAACTTTAAGTTCTGCCCATTTAAACATCATTGGTTCAAAGTATGTTTAATTTAAACTTTCTGTTTTATAAGCATGATGATTATGTATAGGTTCTCACACAGGCTAAGCCTTTGCGAAAATAACATGTGAGTATCAATGTGTCTCCGTGGGTATTTTGCCCTCTCATTTATTTTGTGTTATCATAATTTGCATTTAAATAAATAAAAAAAATAAATTAAATAAAAAATAATAAAAATAAAGTAAATAAATAAATAAAAATAAATAAATAAAATAAATGTTAGAAATTGATTATAAGAGGAGCGTAGTGAAAATCAATGAGGAAGTTGTAATCATTGATGTGACGTTTGGAAGGAAGTCTTTTATTATATGTTTACATGACACTTTTAATCTGTTTATTATTATTTGGCATGATTAGTACCTAAGGGGCAATTTTATGGGGACTATTTTCTTTATTTTCATATTGGGATGCATTTTAGGAATGTTCATGTCCATTAAGTACTTGTTTCATCCAAGCATGAGCCAAAAACTTTTCCAGTCGGCTTTATTTTAAGCCAATGATTAGTTTTTAAGCGATTACAAATAATTCAAATATTATTATACTTTTTTCATATTCTTACAGTGAAATCTTCGACCCAAAATGATACACAGCTGTCAAGTCCTGAAGGCACCATCTGAAAAAAACAAAAAAAAACTTATTAAACTAGTTGCCTTTAATCATTTTTTTATTTGAAAGTTTATAGAATGTATCTACCTTGCAGTTTTCGTATTTATTTCACAAGGGGCAAGTTGCAACAATGAATGCAAGAGTTATTAATGATATCTCAGAGAGTTATTCATTGAGAGAAAATAGACCTTTCTCTCAAATCTTATTCAAAAGTACTAGTTTAACGATTCAGTTTACCACCATGAACCACTTCACCACACAAAATATTTTTGTACACAAGTGTTCTGTAATCTTCGTCCACAATAGACTTTTACGAATATTTGAATGACACTGACTCAGAAAACGAATCCCTTATCTTATTTCAAATTATACCCGAAGTGGAAAGTATTTTGCAGCCAAATAACCACATCAACACATCTCGAGTAACGTCCTAATAACTCCGGAATCCGATCTCCACCTCAAAGCTGGGTCCCACGCAAACATCTAAGCGATATCGAGCGCAACTTCGCGAATCAGAGCCTTGTGCATCGCCGGGGCCAACTTCATAAACTCCGCGAGCATTAGCACCAATCGTCTTAACAAGAGCGTTAGATTTCCCCAGAGAAACTAGGAAGTCACACGACTCTTGCGCATCCCAACTTCTTCTTCTTCCTCATCCCCTTGCCTTCGACTCGCGCTGCGCCCGGGCTCCGGCCCTGTGCGCCCCCGCCCCCGCCC